AATGATAGTAAATATCATTTATGATAGATTTGGCATGAATATGTATTGTGTGTGAATCTTCTGTACCTTTCACAAATAAATGTTTAAAAACTGCTATCATTAAAATTTTAATCTATGTAACCTTTACCGAGAAATGTGCTGGTAATAGTTCAAAGGAGTCTGGATATTTTTACTACATATATAAACAGCTGATTTCAGTGTACGTACCTTATTGATGCATTTTCTAATGCTCTTGGCCTTGTGCCATACATCTAAAGAATGGAAAATTGTTCGAAATGCACTTCTTGGAAACCAAAAAAACACAACAATTACTAAAAAAAATGCCTTGCTGTTTAGAATCCCAGACTTGTAAATAAATTAATGCTTTATGTGTCATAGACTTCTCCTTGAGAAAGAGTGGTTAATTTGGTTCTTCACCACGTTGGGTGAGTAGAACAAGAACAAAGTATCTTGGTTAGGGTTCAAATGGTGTAAAAAATGTATGTGCTAATATATACTTTTGACTGTCTCAGTTTTGCTAAATTGCTTAATTTCAGCTGCAGCTGGCATTGCCAAGACCTACAAGATCTCATATTATTTAATTTGCATATCAAGTTGGAAGTTCAACTAGGTACAACTAATATTTTGTTCTACTTGTTACTTTTGTCTTGAGTCAACCGGAAAAGTTTGCAAAGTAAAAAGCAAAAGTACATTGATTTCTAAACTCACCCATCATTTTTTTAATACTTGCAGAGGCATCGGTAATGACTTGTCCTACTGTCAAAACATCTGTGATTTGCTCAAGTATGTTTTGAAGAGCCCTTTTTTCCATGTTAACAGACTTTAACTCCACTTCTCTTTTATCAAGAACCTCCAAATCAATGATATATCCAGTGGTCATCTCCATCAAAAAATAACATAGGTTTTTAGCAGTAAACCTTGGAGAATCACACTGGCCATCACCCATCACAACAAGGCTTTGGCCTTGCAGCTCAAGGTTGATAATACCTTGCTGCCAAGTCCACCACTCATTGATAGCTGGTATGCAATACACCCTTTGTGCCCGACAAAATGTCGACCTTGATACAAACGACAAACCCAAAAACTTGAAAAAAATTTCAACTTGAGCAAAGTTGTTACCAGTTAGAAGGACAGCTCCACATGCCTGGAGATTGTTGGCCAGGACCCCATTGACCTTGTGGGAACTCCAGAATTTCCAAACATGACCCGCTGGTCATTTCCACTTGATCAAAACACTAGTGCCACAAAGAGTGTGGCTCACTGTGGTTGCTAGCTGACAACCAGGCTGACGACACTTTTCAGCAAACAACTGTATGAGAAGGTCAAGGGAACAAACAACTTATGTTCCTACAACAAGAGTGATTTCCTTGCTAAGGCTAAGGCAAGCCTGTTCTTCTAAACAATTAAGTTTACTTGCACGCAGGGCATTTTTCACGTAAGGGACTGGTTGTAAAGAGGGAAGGGCTGTGGACGTTTCTGGTGAGGAAGGTGTTTCTGCTATTGAAGAATCTGTTTATGTAGCTACAAATAACTGAAGAGGCGATGGCGATGCTGACTGGTCCTTATCAGTTGCTCCAGACAAACCCATGGTACTTATTTCATCTCCTGATTCCTCTTCCCTACATGATATGAGAAAATAAAAAAAAAAAAAAATTAATATTACCAAATATTATAGAAGGAGCAACGGTGAAACAGTTGGCTAGTACATGGCCTTCAGTGTCCAAGGTCCCCAGTTTGATACCTGGTGACATAACATCCAAGCTTCTCCTTTTCTCTTTTCTGAGTAGCTTTGACTAGCTTAAAACACCCTTAAAACAGAAAATTGATGGAGAGAAGGGGGTAAGATGAGTGCACTGTCACAAAGTATCGAAGTAAAATATGGTTGCTGATTACCTTTGCTTTGCCTTTTTTATTCTCATTAAACCTTTTAACAAACAAAATAATCATGATAATTTATCCATCATGAAACCACCACCAGGCGCTTGTTCTAGCAGTAACCCATAATGCTAAAATTTTGTTCTCAAGTGACAAAGTACATAACCAAGTTCAATTTTGCACTTCACTGACCTGTAGAACATGTCTTCTTCACTGTCAGTCGATAACTCACTGTCATCGTCAAGGTCCTCATCAAGCTCCTGTAGAGCATCACCGAGATAATTCAAATCACTAAGGGTGATGGAAAAAGAAAATACATATATAACTGAAAATAAACTTATATCAAAGTATTAAAGGTACATCTTACAGATAAGAATATTTACGTTCACTAGCCTTATAAAAGACATCAGAAAACAAATTCCTATCCCCAGAGGTTTTGACAAGCACTACAGATCTAGCGAGATAGCTTACATGCATGTAAAAATAGTCATCATGTTTCAGCAACCACAAGTAAGTGTTACACTTTATAATTTTCTGAGCCTTTGAGAAAACTATGTGTCTTTGTTTTCTAGACTTGCTTCAAAATCTGCCAGAGTGCTGAATCTAGATCTCAGCCTGGGGATAACAATGAAATAAGTTCTAGAGTTTACATCAACTTTGATGGTCATAAACAGAGCCACAAAGAAATAATTATATATCTGAAAAGAAAAAACAAAACAAACAGCAACACACAATGTTGGATCATCACTGTCACTACTTGTGTCGCTGTATGAATCACTGTCTTGATCATCCTTATTGTCTAAAATAGTGACCTCTCCTTCCTCTACAATGAAACTCGTATCACCAACAGTGGTTACTTCACTGCCAGTGACATCAACGTCTGCATCAAAGCTGAAAAGGAAGCAACAACCAACAGCTGAAAGATCTGGATAACACAAAATGTTGCAAAACATCTTTTCCATTGATGTGATGTATATGTATATGTATCTCCAGTATTATAGCACACAAAATTCACCTAATACGGTGTATAAAGATGAATTTAGTGATTATCTTTTGCTTGTCTTGAAACTCACTGGTTAAATTGATGCAAGCAGTGACAGGATGATCATAATGATCATAAAATTCGTGACAGAAAAATAATTTGCAAACAGAAATGACTATGTGAAAATCAGCAACTGATTAATAGCCTATGTCTTCCATTCACCCATAAGGCTAGCAGAGTAGTATTATAAGCAAAGAACTAATGTAAGGTATCAAAGACAAGTTTCTCAGAATTAGGATTCATATACATAAGTGACTGGTGAATTATATAATCAAAGTACCTGCTGTTCTGTAAAACTACGGGAGTTTTCTGCATTGGCATGTCTCAAGACTTGGAAGGAGTAGATGTTACTCCAGGATAAAAAGGATCTGTACCAAAACAACAAATGACTACATTGTAATGTCAACGTCTTCGAAGACTAGCCAAAAAACATAAAGCAACTGCAAAATGAAAGCAAATAGATAGCTTATAAGGAAGAGTTTTCCGTAAGACCGAAAAACCACTTCAATGTTGTTTAATGAGCAATTTGAATGTAAACGAATAATAAAATATCTATTTAAAACAAAATAGTTAAATTTGTCTGATTATTTTGACCCACAAAAGAAAAAGGACACTTACTTAACATTACATCACGCCCTTACACTGCTGACCACACTGCTTGTCTCTGAAATCAAAATGGCTGCCCAGATATCGCGATCGAAGGTTTTAGATGTCTTGCAAGGAATTCTTTAGTGGTAAATCACCTTAAATAACATTAAGATTGGGAAAATGTTTAATTAAAATTAGAATTCATTGTTTTCTTTACTTGAATTTAGCATTTTTTTACGAATTATGCAATTTTCCTCAAATTGTGTGATCGGATACAATTTGAAGTCAATTGTGTGAAATCACACCATCGCGTAATGCACCTATCAATGTAAACCCCGTGGGGGAGGGGGGGGAGTGCGGGTAAGGGGTAGGGATTTGACAAATTTTAAAAGTTTTTGATCAAATTCCCCAGGGTGGGAAACGAAAGGTCAATCAAAAGTGTCAAAAAAGCCCCCACCCCAGGGGAAAAATCTATACAAACAACACTATAATACTGTATAAAACAAATTAAAAGAACATTTCCAAAGTACGTCCTTACTAAACATAAGCTCCGTTAAATTACTCACTGTAATTTAAAGTATTTTCTCTCTCCACTGGCATCTCTTATTTTGAACAACAAAATCACTCTAGGAAGATTGACCGTGCTATATACCTGCCAACTCTCACGCCTTAGGCGTGAGTCTCACGCCTGCGGGTTGAAAACTTCGATCTCACGCCGGCTCACGCCTGCGGGCCAATTTCTCACGCCTGATTGAAAAATGTGAGTTGTTGGCCTCCTACTTGACACAATTTCCAAAAATACGTTAACTCAGACCCATGTAAGGAACGAAAACCATGTGTAAAATGAATAAATGGCAATACCTTCCTCGCGATCTCTGATTTTTGAAGTGAAAAGCACTGGGAGCGAGCTCGCCTTTGGCAGACTTCAGCAGACTTCGGACGTCTTCGGAAGACGTCGGACGTCTTCGGAAGACTTCGGATTTCTTCGGAAATCTTCGGAAATGATCGTGTCGTCTTCAAAAATCCCAGCACTCCCAGGATAAAAATCTCACGCTTATATCTCAGAAAAAGTTGGCAGGTATAGTGCTATTATAATATTAATGAAACGTAAAATGCTTTACAACATCGGCTCAACATGTCGGAACAGGTCGGATCAGTGACCCGTAAAAAATCCTCTGACTTTCATGGTGGAATTCGATTTCAATCGAGTTTTACAATCAGATGGGAACTTGAAGATAAAAACTTTCTCAAAATAGACATTACCTGTTTAGATGACAGTTTAAAGTATCGGATTAAAGCGATTAAAACAAATGAAACCTTTACACTTTTCTCCAACAGCGTAACTTTCAGAAAGCCTCGACGGACTAATGGTAACCGCTTCTGAATTGATACCAGGCTTCTGTCAGTCAAAGTCAAATGTCCCGACCCCGGGGTCGCTTCGCACGATCAAAAGCCCGACAGGGGGATAGTCTCAGGCATCAAATCCCCACCCCTTGCCTGCACTCCCTCCCCCACGGGATTTACATTGATAGGTGCATAATATCAGATGGCCTGATGGAAAAGTATGATAAAGTATACACAGTTTTTGTCTTCATGGGCCATGCATTTTGGAAAGAAAACATTTAAGACACTGGTAAAATTATTGGAATCAAACATTTTAAATTGTTGTCTAAATATATTAACAACAGTTTGATTCGCATAAAATAGGTCTTAAAATGAGGGAATGACGTTTCAGAGGACTTACCTCCTAAATTTCCCAGCGAGGTGGGTCCATGTTCCTCACTCCTCCCCCACACAATTGTGCCTCTGACGCATATTTTTGGCCTAAACAGCAAGGATTGGTCCCTCACCTGCTGAGCAAAAATTCAGAGAGAACACTGCCCTTGGGTTATCCCCAGAAATTCTAGAATGAACATTTTTTTCAAAAAAGAGAAGTTTTCTTCTTACTGGTGTTGAACAGATGCAACCTGCATTAACTTTAAATTGCCACAAACTGGTACAAAACATTAAAATAAGAATACATGTATCTGATGAATGTGTGTACACCCGGAAGATATCACAATCAAGTGGATTGAGTGTATGTTTATTTCTGTGATCTTGAATTTGAGCCTTTGAGGTCAGCAGTCGCTCCCAATCTTATGAGCTTCAAAAATTAAAATGGAATTTTGCAGTCAAAATAAAAATGTTTCACATTGAATGGACAAAATAATTTATGAGGCAGTTTTTACAAGAGAAAAAAATGATGTTTTAAATCTTTAAGGGCTCTGGAGTATTATTTACAGCCTACATTGCCAGATTGATGGATGCTTGTCTTGTATCCTGCTCCCGTGGTTGTCATGCTCAGCAGCCTTGTCAGTTCGTGCTTTATTTTTGAACTATTAAAAATTAAGTCCATAAAATAAGCATTTTCAAGGAATTCACTCTTGTCTGTCCCCTGTGGAAATTCCAGATCTAACCACTCCCCCCCCTGCTACTTTCATTAATTCCAATCATAAGTATCCCCCAATGCCTTCGGATTTCGAGTTCAAACAACCCCCTCTTACCCTTGGAATTCCATAAAGCCATCCATGGTATGGTACACACATGTATGGATATTTTCTGGAATAGCCCAATATTACAATCATTAATTGCTTTGAAATGAGAATTATATATGATTGTGAATCTCAAAGTCTTCCTTACATTATTTTCCAAATGCCAATTATAACATCAGCACTTGAAAGCAAATCTAACTCAATGTTTATGCTATTGAGTCATGCGATGAAATCATCCCATTAATAATCCACACCACATGGTTTAGAAACTATAATACAAACAGCTAATCTATCTGGAAAGAATAAACATGTCAAGGAATCTCACTGAAAAAAAAAATTGCTGAATTGCCAGTGTGGTTGACCTAGTAATGTGGATGATTGGAAAAAAAATGAAAGAAACATTGTTTAATTGACATTATTATTCATTCAAAATATTTCCCCAATTCTGATTGGCTAAAAGCACACTCATAATTCACCATAACCAGCTACTGATGACCAAATTTGGAAGAATTTTGCATTTAATGAACCAATGATGTCAAAAGTACAGCCTTTTTGCATGTTAATGCACCATTGACCGAGAAGACCTGGGGACAAGGTTGAGTTGTTTTGGTTGTGAAAACAAAAATGGCGTACATTTGACTCATTTCAAGAGTAAGAATTAGGTGAAATAACATGGCAAGAACAGCACAAAGACATTAAACTCGAAAGGTGACATTTGCCCTTTGGAGAATATTTGCGGAGCTGAACAACCCTGAACGTGCACTATCAAAGATGAACTTAACATGCATGTTTTAGCTATATTATTAAACTAGGAATTATTTTGAATGAATAATAAAACAATTATTGAATTCAGCTTTCGTATCATATGAAGAATTATGGAATTATTTTGAATGAATAATAAAACAATTATTGAATTTGGCTTTCGTATCATATGAAGAATAACTGACATATTGGAGGGTGCCATAATTCTTCTTAAGATACTCAGCCTCATTCATAAATTATTAATTAAAAGCATGATCTTGCATTTGAAAAAAAAACATTCAAGAAATGAGGGTGTCTGGTTAATATGGTGTCCACTTGATATCACAGGGCTCAAAATAAGGGCTGGTAAATGGACAATGTCGGGCCAATACAACCATTTGTCCAGACAAACTTTCAGTTGGCTAGTCCTTTTGACAGGTCAAGCAAATTAACTGGCAAATTACATTTCTTCACATTAACTCTGGAAATTGCAAAAACGGTTAAATCATAAAACATTTTAGTTACTTAAAGAGAATACAGATGAAAAAAGCTACATTCTGTGGCTTTTTTAATGCGTCTATTTTTGTAAGTACGCCAAAGAGACAACAATCAGTGTTGCATCAATCAATGTCTTCTATCAAAATAGCCAGAAATAAGAACACTTGGAAAAGGTTCATAAAAAAAAAGAAAAAGGAATTCCGCTTTTAAGAGGTCAGTAGCCAAAGTCCCAAATTTATTTCCCTTATTTAGTGTAAATGAAAACTTTTGACTCCTCATATGATGGTCTCTACCAAAACCTATATAAAGCAGACACCGTGTATTAAGCAGACCAACACCAGAGTTTTCCCCAAGGGAGTCTGCTTCACACAGGTTTGAGTATATGTTTAAAAATAAAACTTAGAAAAATGGATTAGACTCAGAAACGTAATCATTCCTTCACATATAATTGCAAAATATTGTTACCTGTGTTTAATTTCTTTATCTTCATTGCCACTTGAGCTTGACCTAACAGTGTAGAAAACACAGAAAGTTGTTTCATGGACAATTCAAAACAAGACAGATGTAAGTACAAAAAAAACAACTAACGGTTTACAGCAAAATTTGTTGTATTGCACTGCACATATTGCAAACTTCGAAGGGATTGTGGGTTTTTCTGTTCAGTCGATCATTTTATTAAATGCGGAAACAAACAAAAGGGATTGAAATCCACCAATCACAAATCACAAACCATGACCTTTTGAACTCATGCAAGTAAACATGTGTTTCTTAAGAGGTCCGCTAAGATGTTTCACAGAACAGGAAAAACCCAAAATATATGTTAAACGCACAGCGCGGTCCAACGTATTTCACTATAAAAACAATAGATGAACAAAAAGGGGTGACAAACACTGGAATGATCGATATCTAAATGATGGTAAAGGATTATCTGCGTTAGGATTTCCCCAAGAGGAGCCAAAATCTGTTTTTTGAGTCAGAAACCTGAATTTTGATTTTCCGAAAAAAGCCAACCCCAGGCTAACATTTAAAACTCAGCAGCTCGACTTTACACCTTACGTGTAAGTATTTATAATTAAATAAAAAAAAAAAACATTTGCTGCTTAATATGTTGAATTAAGTTCAGCACCAAAGTAGTACAACATTTGAAACAGGCCTAATGAAAGAATAATACTAGTAATAGTTGACACTACAGCTGCCCCCGTTCTGTATATTGTCGGTCAATAGTATTCTTGCTGGTTGTGTAGCTCTTTGAAATATACCGATTCATAATGAAGATTTTCACACATATTCCATACAATAGGTGAGATAAATACAGGAAACGCAAGGTTCCATGCACAGTTTCAGCTCGATTTACACAGCTTTGATCAAAACATTCTCAGGTTCGAGAATAGTTTATTCTAAACCATAAGAAAAGATTTAATTAGAAGTTCATTTTATTTGCCGGAAAGTAAGCCTTAGAAATTAAAAGGACGTTTGATCGATTCACGCTAGCGATTCTAGTCTTTGACTTTATAACGGAAGGACATCTGTGAGCAGGGAATCAGTCAGCACAGAATTTGATTGTCGGCGAATTTCTGTCAATGTCCATCACAGTCTGCTAGTGATAAGCTAGCCGTTGTTCACTCTTCTTGCTTGTTTGGGGCTGAGTCTTATTCCAGTCAAAGAGAGAGAAAGAGTGTCTGGCAAGGTTTCCAATATAAATCAAAGATTTGTGAACTCGTGTCTCTCCAAGTGCCTATATATACACAGTTAAACGCACCTTATAACCTCGCCTGCGCGTAACGAGTGTCTTTTGGTCCATAACTTTCAAAAGAACTGCTCCACAGAATGTCACTGCGTAACGCAAGAGTATCAGAGTATGACTGCACAATAAATGTCACAAAATCCACCTGAGCGGTCCCTTCAGGATTTTCTGTCTTTACGTCATCCTAACCATTTCCTACTTGCGGGCGCAAACAATAGAAACGTCATCATTACCTACCGATTCCTCGCGGCCCCAGCTCGAGCAAATCGAGATTTTTTCTAGTATACTGACTGTATATTTGAACTGTAAGTAATGTCTTTAATATACGCGCGAGTTACTAGGGTGCCTCCTCGGGATTTTGCCTCTGGGCGAAATCCCTGCGGGGGCAATTAATAATAATAATGTAATAACTCCATTATTTACCCTCGGCAGTATTTATAGCACTAATGCTAGTGGGGCCGAGAAAATGTTTGCAATAAATAATTCATATTGAACTTACCACGGTTAAGAATCCCAACTGGATGGGGGCAAATCAGTTGGCTATTTACAACCTGGTGTGGCCAAGGATTTGAACTCTGGACTACTGTGAACAAATCCAGCTAGAGGTCAGAGCGGGACTTGAACGGTTAGCATTAGGTAACATTGGCTGAAGTCAGATTGCTTCTTTCAGTAAAATTACATGAAGAACAACTTAAGTCCAACCTAACTGTGTAATATAAAAGTGAAATACCAGTAGAAAAACTTTGAACCAGGGTCACTTGCTTTATAGCCTACATCCATATCCACTACACCATTGAGGACTAGCTGCCAAATGCAGTAATTTTGAAAATATACATGTTCTTATATATGCCGTACCATTACAATATTTGAAAGCTAACCGTTTTCAGTTCAATGCTTAACCCTAATCACTGCAGATCAGTGCTTAACTCTCTACTGTGTCCTCTCCATAACTGGCGCACTGTAGTTTTGGTTTCTTCAGCT